AAGCAGGGAAGCAGACTAGGGCGAGCGTGCCGGAGGAATGAGCAGTGTGCAGTGGTCGGGCCTGTTCTGGGCGGACACCCATGGCTGTTGGAGCTTCATGCGGGCGGGTGGGGGCAGTTTGAGAGGAAATTCCACCCAATACAAGCACTATTTCACACAGCCGTAGCTGCGAACTGCAGTGCCTGGTAATTAGGAATGTGAAGACGCCGCACATCTCAGGTAGTTTATGGACTTGTACACTCCACATGTCTCGCCATGACATTTAAATTCTTCACTAACAACCTCACAGACCAAGCAATCGCTACGGAAGGCTGGTTACAGGCCAAGATGTGAGATTAGTTGTTATCTCAGAATCATCAGTTGGTATCAACTCTCCTCTCATCACACATTACTTTCAGGGGATCCATTTCTACTGCATTTTCAAAACGAAGTAGTTCCCAATAAATTATTAAATTTACTGAAAAGGTGAATCCCATTTAATCGTCAGGGTTTAACGACTGTCAGAGGCGACTATCTCTAGGTGCCACATTAGAAGCACAGTATTTGATGCCAAAGCAATTTGAGGTAAATCTGATACACATTTTAACAGCTAAATCTCCCTCATATCCATCAGGAAATGTCGTTAAGTTCACTCTTCTCCGAACGTGTTACAACGAACGAGTAACCAAATATAAATCAATCCAGCAAATTAATGCCCTGATTCCCACAGCTGAACTTTTCAGCTGAAAAATCCCTTACATAATCAGGCCCCACCTTCCTGGACATCTTCAAGAGGAAACTAGATTTATTCCTCCAAGGAGTGCCGGACCAACCGGGCTGTGGTGGGTTTGTGGGCCTGCGGGCCGCTCCAAGCAACAGCCTGGTGGACCAAACTCTCACAAGTCAAGCCTGGCCTCGGGCTGGGCTTGGGGAGTAGAAGAACTCCCAGAGCCCCATCAACCAGGTATCGGCGGCCTCTGCATTAACCCATATTTGCTTCCTGCCAAGATGCAAGTTCCTAAACCTTAACGTCAGCCTCTACATCTTGCTCCAAGCACTGTGTCTAGTACGACTGAAGTGGTTATACAGCAGGCTGAATGAAATTCTCCGTCTTAAATAGCCTGACGCAAGTAATGCTGTGGAGCCAGATAAGGTCAGTCCAAGATTACTATGCGGCTGAGCTGACCTGTTGGCTCCACCTCTCGCGTGCCTCTTCCAACTCTGCCTACCTCAAGGAATTTGACCCGCCTTATGGAAGAAGGCAGATGATGTTCCAGTACACTGAAAGAAGAGCCGCTCAGTGGTTGGACAAATTGAGAGAAAGAGAAAGAGAGAGAGAGAGAGAGAGAGAGAGAGAGAGAGAGAGAGAGAGAGAGAGAGAGAGAGAGAGAGAGAGAGAGAGAGAGAGAGAGAGAGAGAGAGAGAGAGAGAGAGAGAGAGAGAGAGACAGAGAGAGAGACAGAGAGAGAGAGAGAGAGCGCGTGACTGACCTCTGCACCTTCAGCACACAAGTGATCTACATAGTATTATGGTCCCCAACACACATCAAGTGCCCGGCCGGGTTAAGCCGCCCGACCAACTTACCTTCCCCACCTCGCCACACTTAAAGCGCACTCAGACTTAACTTAGAATACCGCCCCTCCGAACTTAAAAACTCCCTTTTTCCTCAGCTTAAAATAACGCCTAGCTAAAGCAGAAATACTACACTCCCTAAACTTAAAATGTCTTCTCTTTACCTAAGTTAACCTATTAAATCGAAGCTTGTCTCATCGTTCCTAAAAATCATCAAACTAATCACGTTTTGCCTTTTATCGTCTAGGGTCAAAAATGGAGTGCATCGTAAGCTTACTGCCTTCCTGGCTAACTTAAAATGATATTCCATATTATAATTAGTACAAAATTTCCGAAATTAACAAGCCTATTTTGTAACCTTAAAAATGCTTTATAACATAAATATTGTACAACTAAGTAATCCTACACAAGGGCATTTATGTTTATAAGCTAATTACTTTAAAATACATTAGTCATAAAATAAAGAAATTATTGAATGATTTGTTGCTCCAATACAGATACTAAAGTAAAAAAGAACGTTTTCCTGAAACATAAAGCCATAACGAATAAATTCCCTTTATTTTCCCTAATTACTACTACTACCTTTTGAAGTACTTTAAATTCGTAACATTTAAAGTGTAAGCTTAATCTTCCTCCATTGTATATTTTCTACCATTCATTTAAACAAAGAAAACAAAGCCTAATTTTTTTTTTAGGCTATTTAGAATTTTAATACAGATGAGGCACCTACGTCATTTATTCTAATATTATCACAATATATTACTCGAATACTAAAGATTGTTCTAAAAGACGAATCAATATCAATATTTAATTTAATTTTACTCCATGTGATCTTTTAACACAAGTTTTAAAACAGGTTTTGACGCCTCACCTATTACTTCTAGTTAGCAAAGTCACATAATATTTCCTCGCTAGATAATAACAAATATTGATGCAAAATGCTGTGTAATTATTTTATACAATGTTTATGCTATTTAATTATTTTAAACAGTGTTTATGCTGTTTAATTATTTTAAACTGTTTATGCTGTTTAATTTTTAAGTGTTTATACTTAAAAATATATAAATCTAGGCCTATTTCCAAGTTCTTAATCCATTATTTGTCATGCTATTGAAAATGAGAAGTCTATAAGCAATAAAAATTAACTTTATTAAAAAAATATATAAAATTATAATATAAATAAAGGTGTTACCCCATAAGGTGTTGCACCTGTTATATAAGCCATGACAACCCGGCATCTTATTACATAAACTATGACAAACCAAGACATCAACACACACACGCCGCTAAAATATGACGCTACAACTTTCAGCAACACTTATAAGTCATGTCAGGTAATGACAAGCTTATCAATGTCACCAAATACAATGCAGACATTAATACATTCGAACATTGCAACTTACGGATTTCAATACTTCAAGAATCTTTACATTATTTTACCCATACAAGGCAGTCAAAACAGTAAATTGCAACGATTCCACCTGACCAATTAGTTAATTTCAAGTGTGGTTTTCCCCCAGTGGACAGCCAGGACATCAATGTGACGTGTCGGGTAGTGATGTCCACACTGCCGGTGGACATCATAGCAGTCACGTGACGCAGGGTTCCGGCACCGCATAAATCATCGCTAAATGAAGAGCTTCCTGACGTCAATTTTGATTGAAAACAAGGAGAAGTGGTTGTGCACCGTGCTCTGGCAACGTGCATGCTGGGTGGGTGAGTGAGTACTCGCTTAGTTATGCTTGCGAGGGTTGAGCTCCAGCTCTTTGGTCCCGCCTCACAACTGTCAATTAACCGGTATACAGATTCCCGAGGCAATTGGGCTCTATCATACCTACATTTAAAATCTGTGTGTACATGTGTGCGCGCGCGCATATGTGTTTGTAAAGCTCTGGGATCAGTCATGATAGAGAGGACTGCGTACCTAACAGTGACCGGGTGGCAGAGCTCTAGCTCTTCGTGCCCTGCATACTACCCTCATTATAACTGGTGTAGTCTCTCACCTTACAGTTGAGGATAGATGTTTCTTTTGCATAGTTCCTTTCAGTTCATTTCACTTGTTGACTCCTTGTGCAAGGTACGAGTATTTCCATTCATCTCTTCGGCTCGTTAACCATTCGAGCTTCCCGCTGTGAGTGGCTGTGGGTGGAGGACCAACAGTCACGTTATGGAGGGTCCGCCACACAGAGGAAACGTTTGGTATTTACAATGTGATTATATTCCTACGGCACACGGAGATCACTGTAAACAAAACAGCACCGCCCCTTGGAGCCCGGACGGTAGTTAATATTCAGTCGCACTTAACAAGACTGGAGCATGGGACTCCTTGTGTGCGTGAGGTGTTGCTCGAGCGCCGCCCCTGCATCCTGTGATGCTTGGTCCTTGTCCCTCACTGCCCCAAGTTATTCTCATTCACATTCACTTATTCACACACACTAAAACTATGTGTGCTAGTGATAAACTAACACACATAGTTTTAACACTCTACACGTGTTTTTATATTCACACAATTAAATACTTTATATCTTATGTTTCAAGGCTTTTCCAGGCTTTGCCAAGCTTTGCCAGGCTTTGTATATACAATGAAAGTTTCTAGAAGTGTTCTCACAAGAACTAGAAACTAAAATGCCTGTCACACCAAAATATTGCACTTGCAAGACTACTTCAGGCCATACTACTTATAGTCCCGGGAGAAGTGTTGTTAGCCCTCTCCCTAACTCCCACCACTATTCTAGGCTCTATTCTGCTTAATAATCCGCATGAACAGAGCTGTTTGGGCATTTCGCCTCGTATTGCTATTCCCAGCACTCTTTCATAGTCCTCGTAAACAGTGGTGTTGGGCCTCAGCTATTGTTCCCGGCACTAAATAAAAGTGAGCACTGTTGCCCCCCCCTCCCATCAGTCACATTACTATACATTAACGTGCTCATTATCAGCGTCCGTTACTGTCCACCACCACCACTACCTACTCCACCATAAACACAACCCGGAGGAGCAGGACGAGGAAATGAAGGAGTGAGAGAGGAATTGGGCGAAGAGTGTGGGAGGAGGCTACAAGGAGCAGTCCACTCTTGAGAACTTTTTGCTCCAGAACCTCAGTAAAAGCACGCATCTCTGAGGTCTACGACCTTGCGTACCAAACCCACACTGGTACCTCTGCTCCACCCCATGGTACGCTGCCAGATGGGATGTCTTAGACAAACAGTGTTGGAAGTATAGCTATAATCGAGTATCTTGTGTTTCTAACCCAGGCTGGTAAGGGGTGTACCACTTGCCTCATGCCAACACTTGACTTATCATCATGTATTCTCAGCTTCCATCCTCTTCTTTTCTTACTTTATTAATGTAAACACCACGCCCATATTAATACAAAATATTAATTATTTCTCAGCAAACTTTCACTCTCATGCCATGAACTTGTGTATTTCCCAGCCATAAAGCCCACGCACCATAAATAAACATTAATGGCAACTGCGTAGAGAGGAGCACGTGTGGGGAGCGAACTGACCCCAGCCACGACCACACCACCGCCTCACAGCTGCCTCAACACACAGCAACTGAGCTCTGAGCTCCTCGGCAGGTAGAAACTGGCTAGTGAATGGCTGAGAGCGGCTGGCTGACTGGCTGGTTGGCTGGCTGGCTGGCTGGCTAAGATGAGGCGGTAGGTAGGGAGAGAGGCGGCGATGCTCTGGTGGTAGTGGTAGACGATAGGATGATCCTTCTTGTAGGAGAATCTGGCGTGTCTTAAGGTGGTAGAGTGACGAGCCTGATGACATAGCTGGAGAATTCCTTGTGACATCCCTCACTGCTGCTAACGTGACAACCCTCCCTCCATCTCTTTCTACTCCCGTCTCTCTCCCTCCATTCCCTTTTTCTCCCTTCCTCAATCTCTCCCTATCCTCTCTCTCCCTCCCTCCATCCTCTCTCTCCCTCCCTCCATCCTCTCTCTCTCTCTCTCTCTCCCCTTCTCTGATTCGCAAGAGGCGTGTGGATCACTTGTTATGAACGCAAGTGCTGTCATATTCAGGCGCCTTGCTTCTGACACTGACACCCCCGCGAGCGACAGTGGACCGTACTGTGAGGAATGCCACTGTAACACTGTAGACAGTGTGTACTCATCTAGTTCTGCTTGCGGTGGTTGAATTCTGGTTCTTTGGTCCCGCCTCTCAACCGTCTATCAACAGGTGTACAGGTTCCTGAGCCTACTGGACTCATCATATCTACACTTAAAACTGTGTGTGAGTCTCCCTCCACCACATCACTGCCAAATGCATTCCAGTTGCGCGCGCGCGCGCGCGTGTGTGTGTGTGTGTGTGTGTGTGTGTGTGTGTGTGTGTGTGTGTGTGTGTGTGTGTGTGTGTGTGTGTGTGTGTGTGTGTGTGTGTGTATTCATCTAGTTGTGCTTGCGGGGGTTGAGCTCTGCTCTTGCGACCCGCCTCTCAAGTGACTGTCAATCAACTGTTACTAACTACTATTCCCCTCCCCCCCCCCACACACACAGGAAGCAGCCCGTGACAGCTGACTAACTCCCAGGTACCTATTTACTGCTAGGTAACTGGGGCATCAGGGTGAAAGAAACTCTGCCCCATCGTTTCTCGCCGGCGCCGGGAATCGAACTCAGGCCACAGGATCACGTGTCCAGCGTGCTATCCACACAGCAACCCGTTCTCGCAAATTCGTAAAGTCAATATTGACTTATTAACTACGTGCATAGGTGATATACTAAACATAATAGATACCCTTACAAAGATTCATAGAAAACACCGACCTTACCTAACCTTGTTAGTATCTTAAGATAAGCATCTTATTGCTTCGTAATTACAATTATTACTTAACCTATACCTATTATAGGTTAGGTAATAATTGTAATTACGAAGCTATAAGATGCTTATCTTAAGATACTAACAAGGTTAGGTAAGGTCGGTGTTTTCTATGGATCTTTTTAAGGGTATCTATTATGTTAAGTATGTCACCTATGCACATATTTAATAAGTCAATATTGACTTATTAAATTTGCGAGAACGGGTTGCACACAGCCACCGACGTGTGAGTGTGTGAACCCAGATTCTTTACATTTATTGCCGATGTACATAACAAAATTGACCCGTTACTCGTGTCAATTCCTCTCTATCCAGTTATCTTTTGGTATATCATAGCGCCTTGAGTGTGGTTAACAGCCTGTTATCGAGATGCTTTGTAACCTTTGCCATCACTCTCATAGCTCTTAACTGCACGGTGGATTGTATCATACAGAGGCTGTTATTAATGATTACTGTTGATATGTTGGTTTACTGAGGTAGGCTGTGTTTATGGTTACTGTTGATATGTTGGTTTACTGAGGTAGGTTGTGTTTATGGTTACTGTTGATATGTTGGTTTACTGAGGTAGGTTGTGTTTATGGTTACTGTTGATATGTTGGTTTACTGAGGTAGGCTGTGTTTATGGTTACTGTTGATATGTTGGTTTACTGAGGTAGGCTGTGTTTATGGTTACTGTTGATATGTTGGTTTACTGAGGTAGGCTGTGTTTATGGTTACTGTTGATATGTTGGTTTACTGAGGTAGGCTGTGTTTATGGTTACTGTTGATATGTTGGTTTACTGAGGTAGGCTGTGTTTATGGTTACTGTTGATATGTTGGTTTACTGAGGTAGGCTGTGTTTATGGTTACTGTTGATATGTTGGTTTACTGAGGTAGGCTGTGTTTATGGTTACTGTTGATATGTTGGTTTACTGAGGTAGGTTGTGTTTATGGTTACTGTTGATATGTTGGTTTACTGAGGTAGGTTGTGTTTATGGTTACTGTTGATATGTTGGTTTACTGAGGTAGGCTGTGTTTATGGTTACTGTTGATATGTTGGTTTACTGAGGTAGGTTGTGTTTATGGTTACTGTTGATATGTTGGTTTACTGAGGTAGGCTGTGTTTATGGTTACTGTTGATCCGTTGGTTTACATTACCTTCCATGCAATCTTAACTCCTAAATTAATTTGCAGCTTAAAATATGTATGCTGGCAAGCAGTTTACATATATTCATGCTGACACACGTCATTCAAAACGCTTCGAGTGTTGGCCTTCTGTGCTCACTCCAATACCCACGAGTCCCACGGCGTTCTGCCTACCATAAAGAACCACAGACCAAAGAGCCACAGCTCAACCCCCACAAGCACAATTAGGTGAGTACAGCCATAATTTCCATCAGCCTTACGATGTATAAGCAAAATTCCCAATTTATTATATCTTTTGTTATTGTTTTAGGAAGATAGTGGCTCACACAACAATTCTTGAAAGTGTAACAGTGTGGGCCGCATTTGCTTTGCTACGATATGAAATCTGCCCTCAGAGGAGAGAAGATTCTTTCACCCAGGTGTGGAAGGATTGTTATGAAAGGCTGGGAGCTTTATTTTTCTCTGCGGCGCCTGTGAGAGGCGGATGTACGAGGTATTGATGTGGCAGAAGAGGTCTCTGTCGGCTAGTGTGGCAGCGAGTTTCGCCAGGGCTGTCAAGCTCACACACACAGACCTTATGTAGAAACATTTCTGCAGTGATACCGTCCCCTCTGGTGTTGTTACATCTTCCGAGTCAAGGGAAGAGGCCTAGAATAGTCCCGGTGAACTCCCCCCTACCAGTCACGAGAGTAACTAGTACACAAGTGTATCAGATCAAGAGGGAACAAAGTAGAGGCAAGTAACGCTGTTTTCTTCAGGTGAAAGGGAGAGTAAGGATAATAATCCTGGCCCCAATATCAAGACAAATCTGACCTTGAAGGAGCAAGTCGTGTGGAGTGACACTGAGCCTGGACCTTTAACTATCGTGTGGAGTTGCGGCGATCAGCTCTCATTCACCAAGGACCAGGTGACTTGATTGAGACCGAGGAGGAGGATTTGGTTTAAGTCATTTTGCCTCGAGTGCTCCTCGAGCCTAGTATTGCTAACGAACACCATTTGATGGTTCAATCTGAACAGTGCAGGACTAGGAGTCTTTGTTCAACCTTGAGGCTGCTTGTAAAAATGGGCCCGTGGATCAGTGAACCCACGGCTCGGTCTCTGATACTCGGTCTTCAGTTCATATACAAATCTACAGTTAAAGCCTCCTTAATATTTTGGCTACACCTGTTAGCTATTATTTGTTGATGTAGCTGTGAAATGATCATTATATTCCATAGCTGTATTATAGATCATTACATCATACGGAGCCACCTTACCTCACCATTGTATCATACTCAATCGAGGGATCATTACAGGTGTTGCGACAGTCACCAGTGTTGCGACCGGAAGTGGTGTATGCATGAATGTTGCTTATGATACTAATGTATACACACGTGGCCATTTGTATACACACGTGGCCATTGTGTCCTACGACTCGACTCCCTCTCTGGCATTCACACAAGTCGTACTGCTCACATTACAAATGATTTCAGCTTGCGGGAATATTGTGTCATATTATAATATTAAATTACTGTACTGAGTATTAATATGTATTTTTATAACTAAGATATAACTTAAGTCTAGCCATAACCTACCCGACTGGTCGGCCATTTTGTATAATTATTTGTGGTTAAAAAAAAAAACATTTGTTGTTACAATGTTTATTGAGGGATAAACAAAGGGTTAGGTAAACATCCTTGCTGGTTTGTTGAGTTACTCTACTAGCACCAGATGCTACCACCGCTACCACCACCACCACCACCACCAGCCATTACCAACCACCACCGCCAGTCACCACCACCAGGAGCCATCACCACCACCAGCCATCACCACTACCACTAGGAGCCATCACCATCACCACCAGTCACCACTACCACCACCAGGAGCCATCATCACCACCATCACCAGGAGTCATCACCACCACCACCAGTCACCACCACCACCAGTCACCACTACCACCACCAGGAGCCATCATCACCACCACCACTACCACCAGTCACCACCACCAGGAGTCATCATCACCACCATCACCAGGAGTTATCACCACCACCACCAGTCACCACTACCACCACCAGGAGCCATCATCACCACCACCACTACCACCAGTCACCACCACCAGGAGTCATCATCATCACCATCACCAGGAACCACTACCACCACCACCAGCGGCCACCACCACCATCACCACCAGCCATTACCACCTCCACCACCACAACCACCACCACCACAACCACCACCAGGTGAGAGAGTGGTTTTATCAATCCAACGCTTCTACAAGATGGAATAGGAAAATCGTACATAAAAAGCTGGAGAGGCGAGTCTATCATGTAGAGTGGGACACTAATTGTATCTGGTGTGTGCCTGAAGCTCTCATCTCAGGGGGATACACCCACGACAGGCTGGTGTGTGCGTGTCACCTGCTCGATAGTCTCAGTAAGAGACAAGGCTGTGTGTCAGGCGATGCTTGCTCTCAATGCTTGTAACTAAGGGGGTTACAAGTGGGATTAATATTAGTTATACAGTATGGCCGGACGGCCTATATGCCGACCCTAGGGTCAAGGGGGAGGTCTGTGTGGCACCGAATGGCACCGCTTGGCGCCTAGAAGCGTGCAGGGGAACATGGTTCAGTACTGATAGGCTGACCAATCACCCGTCTCCTGAGTGGTTAGCTAGAAGAGGAAGCCGTGGCTCAAGTAAGGAGGCGAGATATACCGTCCTAGCCGTGGGAATCAGGGGCCAGATTCACGAAGCAGTTACACAAGTACTTATGAACCTGTACATCTTTCCTCAATCTTTGACGGCTTTGGTTACATTTATTAAACAGTTTACAAGCATGAAAACTTCCCATTCAACTGTTGTTATTGTTATAAACAGCCTCCTGGTGCTTCGCAGCTCAGTAACTGTTTAATAATTGTAAACAAAGCCGCCAAAGATTGAGAAAAGATGTACAGGTTCGTAAGTGCTTGCGTAACTGCTTCGTGAATCTGGCCCCCCGGGTCTGCGCCGGTAGCCATACTGTCGACAACTTCACCTCTAAGACCGAGCAGGAAAAATGACCCAAGACTCCATGTTTAACGACAATTTAACGACAGCCTCAATGTTCATAGAACTATTTCAACACCAAGTTAGAGTCGGTAATGGTGTGAACGCCGCTGTCTATTCAAGAACTGAAATGTGACGAGCATCGCGGAAGACAATAAAAGGATAGTTGTGTTCTTAACTCTGGACTAAGAACAGTACCAGCGGAGGTGATTAAGTATACCTGGGAGGAGTAGTTGTAGTGCCCGAGCCCGGCCTGGGGGGTCAAGCTTGACTTACGAGTAGTGGCAACAGTCGGATTATCAACAGCTTGGGAGGTCAAGTGACCAAATAAGGGAACTTCAACCCGCTGCCAACCACCCATGGAGGTCATCTACGGCGCCAACGACCTTATTCCGTTAGCACAACCACGTGTGAGGAGAAGTAGTGAGAGTGTGAGTGTGAGAGTGTGTGTGTGTGTGAGAGTGTGTGTACTCACCTAATTGTGCTTGCGGGGGTTGAGCTCTGGCTCTTTGGTCCCGCCTAAGTGTGTGTGTGTGTGTGTGTGTGTGTGTGTGTGTGTGTGTGTGTGTATGTGTATGTGTATGTGTATGTGTATGTGTATGTGTGTGTGTGTGTGTGTGTGTGTGTGTGTGTGTGTGTGTGTGTGTGTGTACTCACCTAGTTGTGCTTGCGGGGGTTGAGCACTGTCTCTCTGGTCCCGCCTCTCAACTGTCAATCAACTGGTGTACTCCTGAGCCTACTGGGCTCTATCATATCTACATTTGAAACTGTGTATGGAGTCAGCCTCCACCACATCACTTCCTAGTGCATTCCATTTATTAACTACTCTGACACTGAAAAAATTCTTTCTAACGTCTCTGTGGCTCATCTGGGTACTAAGTTTCCACCTGTGTCCCCTTGTTCGTGTCCCACCCGTGCTGAAGAGTTTGTCTTTGTCCACCCTGTCAATTCCCCTGAGAATTTTGTAGGTGGTTAGCATGTCTCCCCTTACTCTTCTGTTTTCCAGGGATGTGAGGTTCAGCTCCTTTAGCCTTTCCTCGTAGCTCAATCCTCTCAGTTCCGGGACGAGCCTGGTGGCATACCGCTGAATCTTCTCTAACTTTGTCTTGTGTTTAACTAGGTATGGACTAGTTGGACTCCTATGGACTCCTCCAGGCCTCTGTGTGTGTGTGTGTGTGTGTGTGTGTGTGTGTGTGTGTGTGTTTGAAGGTGCGCATTTCGTAAGTACTTAAATACATTTAAATGCAGGTGTTAACCCTTCAAAAGTTGGAATCTGGAGTGCAATGCGTCACAGAGATTGCCCAATCCAATTTCCTGTTTCCCACCTGTACCTCTCTAAAGACCAGTTTACACAATGGCCTCACATTAAAAGAGGTTTCGTTGAACCACTCAACATCTTCAGAAGAGTTGAAGTGTAGAGAAGTAAGCTTACTTCTCTTGTCTGGGGCTGTAGGTGTTGTCTGGGGGCTGTAGGTGTTGTCTGGGGGCTGTAGGTGTTGTCTGGGGGCTGTAGGTGTTGTCTGGGGGCTGTAGGTGTTGTCTGGGGGCTGTAGGTGTTGTCTGGGGGCTGTAGGTGTTGTCTGGGGGCTGTAGGTGTTGTCTGGGGGCTGAAGGTGTTGTCTGGGGGCTGTAGGTGTTGTCTGGGGGCTGTAGGTGTTGTCTGGGGGCTGTAGGTGTTGTCTGGGGGCTGAAGGTGTTGTCTGGGGGCTGTAGGTGTTGTCTGGGGGCTGTAGGTGTTGTCTGGGGGCTGTAGGTGTTGTCTGGGGGCTGTAGGTGTTGTCTGGGGGCTGTAGGTGTTGTCTGGGGGCTGTAGGTGTTGTCTGGGGGCTGTAGGTGTTGTCTGGGGGCTGTAGGTGTTGTCTGGGGGCTGTAGGTGTTGTCTGGGGGCTGTAGGTGTTGTCTGGGGGCTGAAGGTGTTGTCTGGGGGCTGTAGGTGTTGTCTGGGGGCTGTAGGTGTTGTCTGTGGGTTGTAGGTGTTGTCTGGGGGCTGTAGGTGTTGTCTGGGGGCTGAAGGTGTTGTCTGGGGGCTGTAGGTGTTGTCTGGGGGCTGTAGGTGTTGTCTGGGGGCTGTAGGTGTTGTCTGGGGGCTGGAGGTGTTGTCTGGGGGCTGAAGGTGTTGTCTGGGGGCTGTAGGTGTTGTCTGGGGGCTGTAGGTGTTGTCTGGGGGCTGTAGGTGTTGTCTGGGGCTGTAGGTGTTGTCTGGGGCTGCAGGTGTTGTCTGGGGGCTGTAGGTATTGTCTGGGGGCTGTAGGTGTTGTCTGGGGGCTGTAGGTGTTGTCTGGGGCTGAAGGTGTTGTCTCTCCTCCAGGCCTCTATGACCCTTATGGTCCTCCTCCAGGCCTCTATGACTCTCATGGTCCTCCTCCAGGCCTCTATGACCCCTCATGGTCCTCCTCCAGGCCTCTATGACCCCTCATGGTCCTCCTCCAGGCCTCTATGACCCCTCATGGTCCTCCTCCAGGCCTCTATGACCCTCATGGTCCTCCTCCAGGCCTCTATGACCCTCATGGTCCTCCTCCAGGCCTCTACGACTCTCATGGTCCTCCTCCAGGCCTCTATGACCCCTCATGGTCCTCCTCCAGGCCTCTATGACCCTCATGGTCCTCCTCCATGCCTCTATGACTCTCATGGTCCTCCTCCAGGCCTCTATGACCCTCATGGTTCTCCTCCAGGCCTCTATGACCCTTCATGGTCCTCCTCCATGCCTCTATGACCCCTCATGGTCCTCCTCCATGCCTCTATGACCCTTCATGGTCCTCCTCCATGCCTCTATGACCCCTCATGGTCCTCCTCCAGGCCTCTATGACCCTCATGGTCCTCCTCCAGGCCTCTATGACCCCTCATGGTCCTCCTCCAGGCCTCTATGACCCCTCATGGTCCTCCTCCAGGCCTCTATGACCCTCATGGTCCTCCTCCAGGCCTCTATGACCCCTCATGGTCCTCCTCCAGGCCTCTATGACCCTCATGGTCCTCCTCCAGGCCTCTATGACCCTCATGGTCCTCCTCCAGGCCTCTACGACTCTCATGGTCCTCCTCCAGGCCTCTATGACCCCTCATGGTCCTCCTCCAGGCCTCTATGACCCTCATGGTCCTCCTCCAGGCCTCTATGACCCTCATGGTCCTCCTCCAGGCCTCTACGACTCTCATGGTCCTCCTCCAGGCCTCTATGACCCCTCATGGTCCTCCTCCAGGCCTCTATGACCCTCATGGTCCTCCTCCATGCCTCTATGACTCTCATGGTCCTCCTCCAGGCCTCTATGACCCTCATGGATCTCCTCCAGGCCTCTATGACCCTCATGGTTCTCCTCCAGGCCTCTATGACCCTTCATGGTCCTCCTCCATGCCTCTATGACCCCTCATGGTCCTCCTCCATGCCTCTATGACCCTTCATGGTCCTCCTCCATGCCTCTATGACCCCTCATGGTCCTCCTCCATGCCTCTATGACCCTCGTGGTCCTCTTTGGGTGGCGGTTTATTTCACTATTTCCTCTCCTCGTCCTCCAACCTCTCGCCGCGCCACTCTACAGCTCATATAAATTTGGAGTCCGGGAGACGAAGGCGCTGAACGAGTGACTAGGCTGCAAAAGGTGCGCCAAGTGCCTGTTGTCGGAAAATTAACGATGGGCTAATTGTCCCCTGTAGGAGGCTCGCTGACAGCCTGCGTGATGGGTGGTGACGACTGCTGGTGGCGGGCTCACCAGTCGTGTGTGTATTGATATATATATATATATATATATATATATATATATATATATATATATATATATATATATATATATATATATATATATATATTTTGTGTGTGTGTGTGTGTGTGTGTGTGTGTGTGTGTGTGTGTGTGTGTGTGTGTGTGTGTATGTGTGTGTGTGTGTGTGTGTGTGTGTGTGTGTGTGTGTGTGTGTGTGTGTGTGTAAATCACGAAAAATAAACACGTTATTAAAAATGTGACAGTGTTAGACCACGGAGGAAAATTGAAACAGGAATTTCCTGACGTACTTTCGTATATTAATACATCTTCAGAAGGACACATATGTATGTATGAATATGTATATATATATATATATATATATATATATATATATATATATATATATATATATATATATATATATATATATATATATATCTCCCAGGCACATCACTCTCATGCATATTAATCCCAGGGTTGAGATAAGTGAGGCACTAGCTGTGGGCAACACGACCCAGCCTGCCAGTAAACCTGTCAAGGTTTGGCTGATGCGCAGCCGTCTCTCACAACACGTCAACACCACACTACCCTCCTAGTTTCATGCATAATAACTACTCTAGCTAGTAACGACATAACTGCAAATAACAGATGTGTTAACCTGGAGTACAAATATTTTCGATTAGGCCAACATGCACTAAGGAGCAGGGGCCAGATTCACGAAAGCACTTACGCAAGCTCTTACGAACGTGTACATCTTTCCTCAATCTTTGACGGCTTTGGTTACATTTATTAAACCATTTACAAGCATGAAAACTTCCCATTCAACTGTTGTTATTGTTCTAAACAGCCTCCTGGTGCTTCGGAGCTCATTAACTGTTTAATAATTGGAAACAAAGCCGCCAAAGATTGAGAAAAGATGTACAGGTTCGTAAGTGCTTGCGTAACTGCTTCGTGAATCTAGCCCCTGGACTTGTGGATGTACACACGCCCGGGTAGCGTGACCCAGCCCCACCCCACGTGCACAACCGTACCCCGAACACAGCCCCCATGTGTGCGCATGGTCGAGCCCCCCAGCAAAGACCTAAAGGAAGAACATACAGCCGGGACCCTGGACACACAAACCGAAACTTGATTGTTGACCAGACCACACACTAGAAGGTGAAGGGACGACGACGTTTCGGTCCGTCCTGGACCATTCTCAAGTATCGATCGACTTGAGAATGGTCCAGGACGGACTGAAACGTCGTCGTCCCTTCACCTTCTAGTGTGTGGTCTGGTCAACATACTTTAGCCACGTTACTGTGACTCATCGCCTGCACAAACCGAAACTGTCTCTATTTTCCGCTTGTTACAACTTGTAATAAAGTTGTTACATCTTGGCTTAACGTGTTTATGACGTATTAGAACGTTGTTACAACTTACCATAACTGGTTAGGAAGTGTTAAAACTTGTTCGAACGTTGTACCAACGTCGTAGTTTCGGTGTGTGTTTGGCGGGGAGTAAGTACGTGAGTGTGGAGGATGAAGACCGAGACACATGCAACCCTGGAATGATAATACTGCGAAGCCTTCCATTACTCCCCGCCCCCCCCTCTCCATCAACGCCCCCTCATCATACTCCATTTTCCCCTCATTAAGGAAGCAAACTTCCCCCCCTGATCTATCCATACTGCTCCATCCCCTCAAAGCGATCCTCATCTCTTACTCGACATTTCTCACCATATTGAAGATACTTCCTTACTCCTCGTCCCTCTCGGAGACGTTCACCGGAAGACCTGACATGTGACGGAGGAGAGGAGAGGATGAGGCAGATTGGTGGAGTAAGGGGAGCTGGTCGGCCGAGCGGACAGCACGCTGGACTCGTGATCCTGTGGTCCCTGGTTCGATCCCGGGCGCCGGCGAGAAACAATGGGCAGAGTTTCTTTCACCCTATGCCCCTGTTACCTAGCAGTAAAATAGGTACCTGGGTGTTAGTCAGCTGTCACGGGCTGCTTCCTGGGGGTGGAGGCCTGGTCGAGGACCGGGCCGCGGGGACATTAAAGCCCCGAAATCATCTCAAGATAGAAGGGAAGAGGCGGAGGAGTAGGATGCATAGAGGGAGAGAATGGTTGAGTGGATGGAATGTGAAGGTATAGTCGGGTGGAGGAAGAAAGTGGAAGTACTGGAGGCAAATAAATGATTACAAACTGGCAGGAAAAACAAGAGTATCAAGATAACTTGGGTACTAGAGGAAATGATAACTTAATGACCCGATAATTGACGTAGAGGCTTGAGGCAGCTCTACAACACTGCCAGAGTCGTCATTGTTACCCAGATGTAAACATACAGTTTGAGGCTCCTCAAGAAGCAATGGTTACCCAGGCGGTTATCTTGAGGTTATCTTGAGATGATTTCGGGGCTTTTTTTTTAGTGTCCCCGCGGCCCGGTCCTCGACCAGGCCTCCACCCCCAGGAAGCAGCCCGTGACAGCTGACTAACACCCAGGTACCTATTTTACTGCTAGGTAACAGGGGCATAGGGTGAAAGAAACTCTGCCCATTGTTTCTCGCCGGCGCCTGGGATCGAACCCAGGACCACAGGATCACAAGCCCAGTGTGCTGTCCGCTCGGCCGACCGGCTCCCCACGCACGACAGGAGCTCCCCAGGAGCTACGCACGACGAACCTTTTATTTTTAACAAATCTAAATTGCAGATTTATAGTCGTTGAACCTCACTTAACTCTTCTTATAAACTTTGTAACTGTCTCCTAACTTCCCTAATAGGGTGTTCCACAGTGCCCACGGGGCGTGGCAGCGTGAACATTTTCACAAAAACTGACAATTTTCCAATTTAGCATCGACTGTAGTGAATCTCTTGACATGACTCAAGTATTTCTTTTTTTACACATTGATGCTGACGACATAAATACCATGATAGTCGTCCATCGACACACACACACACACACACTGCTCGATAATGACGCTCGGCGACAATCTTCCTAGCCACTTGGGCTGGACGGTAGAGCGACGGTCTCATTTCATGCTGGTCGGCGTTCAATCCCCGACTGTCCAAGTGGTTGGGCACCATTCCTTCCCCCCCGTCCCATCCCAAATCCTTATCCTGACTTCTTTCAAGTGGTATATAGTCGTAATATCCTGTCATTTCCCCTGATACTTCCCTTCCCTTCCTAGCCTTTCTATCCACCGGGAAAAAAAAGAACACTGGCAACGTCAGCATCTCGTCTGGGGCTAGGGATCCCCAGCCTCACAAACTACTTAATAGTCATTAACAGGTCGCTAACTCGACGAGATGAGCCATTAGCCACCGCCTCGCCTCTGACTCTTCCCCTGGGAGGTGCACTGGCGGCCCCATACACACACACACACACACACACACACACACACACACACACACACACACACACACACACACACACACACACACACACACACACAGTGGTAGACGGTTGGAACAAGTTAGGTGAGAAGGTGGTGGAGGCCAAGACCGTCAGTAGTTTCAAAGCGTTATATGACAGAGTGCTGGGAAGACGGGACACCACGAGCGTAGCTCTCATCCTGTAACTACACTTAGGTAATTACACACACACACACACACACACACACACACACACACACACACACACACACACACACACACACACACACACAACTCTTACACCTCTGCTCAAGAACATAAACCAAACAATGACGGATCTTCCTCT